ACTTTTTCAATTGCAAAATTTTCTATGGGAATAATAGGATAAAACCCAGAACTTTAAAATGCTTTTGCTTCCTCATTTATCCAACTTCTATGTGAGTGCAGAGGTCTGGGCACAGGAAAATTAAGTGACCGACCGGAGACTCTACGGAAAACACAGACACTGCCATTCCTGGGTCTCTGGACCTCTATTCTGGTGTTGTGTAAGCAGTGAAGTCTGTACATCATTTTATTTCACCTATGATATTCACGTGATATTTATTATTACAAAGTGGTCATTCATTGAGAAGAATATTCCAGTTCTTTCTTGTGGATTTTACATTCTCCTCTTGAACAATTGAAATCATCCCTGCATGACTATTAACATTTGTAAAAACATTCCTTTCCCCATTCACCAACCTTTCTTTTCCCTGTACCTCATTTTATCTCCACTGCCACAGGGATTGTTAAAGAAACAGGAGAGCAGAAAGACATCTATATAAATTGATACTGATTCTTTTGGAGACTCAAATTGTGCATAAAGGTCATTTTTTAATGTAAATTGACCTAAAAATTTCTAGGGAAAATTCTAAGATAAATTAATAAATGTGGATTGGATGATAGGGTAAATTGGATATGACTACTTGTCGATCCATCTCTGAACCAATTAAATTGTACCTTATCTAGAGTTCCAAAAATATGTTCTGTTAGACTTGATTTTTGTATGTTTTTCCCATGAAATAAGATTTCACTGTAAAATAAACACAGGGAATGTCAGGTAATATACTTCCCTGAGAAATTTATGATGCATATTTGCATGATAGAACCTCTGGGATGTCACATAATCAAAGCCCTTTTGACTATGTTTAACTGTGCTAAATACAGTATTTTTCCCCTTGCCATTCCTATGGACAAACTGAAGAATTGGTGTCCCCTAGGACATTTACTAGGAATCTCTGAACTAAAGTTTTCTTCCAGTAGGTAATAGAGAATCATTTCTAAAACTCACTAATAATATTCAAAGTATGGAAGTTTTGGTGAAACACAAATTGCATTTTCTATGTTAGATGACTATTTATTTGAATAAATAATTGCCACCTTTGAAAATAATCAAAAGGAAAATTAACTATGAGCCTCTTGAGAGTAGGTACTATTTATTTTTGTATTCTTACCATCTAGCAGAGTGCCATTAGTCAAAGGTCAATCTTTGCTGGGTTAATAACAGTAAAGAAAAAGATATCTGAAGATTTTAGATTACCTTGTACAGAATAATGCTCACTCAAATGTTAGAAAATTAAAATTTGTTTCAATCCACCCAAATGGTACATTTTCCTAAAAATAGCATGTTTTCTTTTGTGAAATGACTTTAGTCGCCAGTAGAGTCTCATTGAGAATGGATACAGTCTATTTATATTTTTCTAAGCTAAAAGAAAAATGCAGAACCATTGAGTAGCTATTATAGCTGTCCCAAAAGAGCCTATCCAGCTTTTTTTTTTTTTAAACATGACTGTTTTCTGAGAGATAATAAAGAACAATATTCGTTAAACCTGTATCATTTTTTTATGGTACTTTCAATGCAGTCATAGATTTACTTAAATTTCTATCATTCCAGTGGAAACAAGCATATAATATTTTCCAGTGGAGTTTTTGTTGCTGTGTTGTTTTAAACCTACTAGAAATACCATGTAATTATTGCCATGGCTATGAATATGTGGTTTGGCAAAACAGGAGCATGAAGTGATAATAGTCAATGTAATGCAAATTTGAGGTTAATAATAATTTAGGGTTTATAGTAATCTAGGACTAATTATCCCAATTCTGTCTGTGTTTTCCTTTTGACACTTTAAGGCTTTTTGCCTGTTTTTTAATGTGTTTTAACTTCAGGTGAATAAGGTCACATCAAAACAAGCTTGGAGAGGGGCTCTGAGTAGATCAGTGGGCAGTGGTATCGAAGCTGTGTAGAATTATGGTCTGACAACACTCTCATTAGATTTGTAGCTCCTGCGTAAGCGTATATCTGGCATTAATCTGGTGGTTTGGAGCCATGGTCCTGACATAGAAAATATCACTATGTCTTCATACCAGAGAGAGAGAGCCCCAGGCTGATGGAAACATCTTTCAACCTATTAACTGTACAATAGATTATTGTGCCATATAAATCAGAGAAAAATTTTGACTGTCTGGACCCATGCTCTTTATTTGGCCTCACTTAATTATTTCCTCTTCAGTATTACTCTCCTTGTTATTTTTTTGGTAGTAGTTATTCAGCTACAGTGTCTGATCATTCCTCTGCTCAAGTCTTCCTGCTGGTTACATTTTATTCCTAAAATATTTTATTCTTCTCAATAAAACTTTTTCCTTTCATTATCATCCAGCATCTGGAATTCTTTATCTTTCTTAAGAATGAAATTAAAAGGGAATTAACACCCCCCCATAGTCTCTTCATCCACTATTTCAGTAAATACTTTTAAATACCTTTGATTCTATTATTTGTTTTATATTCTGCTTTTACACACACACACACACACACACACATATATATAACTATATGTATAGTTTTATTTCAAACTCCTCAAAGGACAGATTCTATTTATTTAGTCTGAATTTTGGAGAGTTCAATATGATACCAGATATATCAGATGGCTCACAAGACAAGTACTTGATAAGTACTCCATGTGTATTGCAACTGTCCTTAATGATTGTTGATTCAGTATTGATTATCCATATGATATTAAGCCAATTTATCCTGAGGTGTTCTCTTTTCCTAAAGCCACGTGAAAGTTAAATGGAGGGATCTGTGATGGCGTATCTGTTTATCATGTGATTGGGTCACATAACCTAGCAAAGCTGAATTGATATATCTTTAAGGATACGGGATATTAAAGCAATGATATGAGAAGGAAAAAGAATAATCAGAGAAGTACATTCAACCTAGTATAAAATCTTAATGCTTTCTGATTATGCCATGTGAATTAAATTATTAAAGAATAAAAGTGAATATTTATTGATTGCCTATGGTGTGCCAGGCACTAGGGACCTACTATGTGCATACCATGAGAACAAGATAGACATGATTACTTCCGTCATCAGACTTACTATCCATTCGCATTACATAAACAAATATGTGGTAAAATAACTATACATTAGTATATTTCCTATAAAACGGTGGTGGATAGAGCATTCCAGGGAAAGATGGCATGAAATACATAGGCCCTGAGTTAGGAAAAGTCTTGGAGGCATATTCTAAAAAGCAGGTAAGAAGGCCAATATGGCTGGAAGGTAACATCAAAAGGGAAAATGGCAAGACATAAGGCAGAGGCACCACATGCATTCTCGGCCCATGATGAGGAGCTGGGATTTTATTCTAGGTGTAATGAAGAGCAATAAGAAATTTTCAAAGGAGTGACATGGTCAGATTTATGATTTTAGGGTTTTATATTTTTGTGTAGAAAAAAATGAATTGGTGGGAGTGACAAGTGGAAGGAGAGATAACTCTGAAGCTTTTTTTTCTTTTAAGTTCAGGCCAGACATGTTGATGGCTTCTTTATGATGGTAGCAATGGAAAATAGAGAAGTCCATGAAATAGAAAGAGATTTTTGGAGGAAATATGATAAGATTCATTGTTGGTGAGCTATAGAAGATAAGGGAAAGGAAGTAAGTAAAATGACAGTTCTGGATTGAATGACTGTATGATTGGCTGTGCTATTTACTGAGAGAGAAAGCGATTTGAAGATTTGGGCAGTGTAGGTTCCATTTTGGACTTGCTTCTTTGGACTTTCTATATTTGAGATGTCTGTTAGACATCTAAGTGGAGATGTGAATCAATATATCTGTCTGTCTATCTATCTAAAATCAATTTATCATCTACCAGCTTATCTATTTATGTGTGAGTCTGGGGCTCAAAAGGACAAGTCTAGATGGGAGCTACAAATTTGGGAGTCAGTGTGTAGATGGTACTTAAAGTCACCTGAACCAGAGAGCATAGATAGAGAAAAGTGAGAGGGCTTTGGAATGAGTGCTGAGATACCCCTATCTATGAGGTTTTGGCAAAGGTGGAGAAGTCAGACAAGGAACCTGAGAAGGAGCAGCCAAAGGGGAAGGAGGAAAGCCGGGAAGTGTAGTGACACTGAAGCCAAAGCAGAGAATGTTCCAAAGAGGAAGAAATGGTCATCTTTACCAAATGCTGCTACAGTCAAATAGCATGAAGACAAGTGTGTGCTGCACTTTAACAACCTGGGGCTATGGATAACCTTGACAAGAACCTTTTCAGTGGAGTTATGGGGAGGCAACCAGGTGAGTATGTGCTGAAAAATGAAGGTGAGATGAAGAAGAGGAGACAGAGTGTGTGGACAATTCTTCAGAATTTTTTTTGTAAAGGACAACAGAGAAATGAGGGGGAAGCTGATGTGGCATGTGGAGGTCAAGGTAGGTTCATCTGTGGTTCATGAAAACTGTTCTGGTATATTATGAGGCAGTTTGCACATTGTGGAATATTTCATAGGAACAGAGAAGTCTAAGAAATTACTGGGATTTAATTCTTATTTGAATAGTAGTTAAACATTTTTATTGATACAGGCCATCACCTATCTTTCTTGGTCACTTCCATACCTGATTATAAATGTATGTTACTGACAATAATGATACGCCAAACAGCTGGTTTGAAATAGCTTTCATATTTTACACAGTTACAAGTGCCTGGAACAATCAGGGAAACAGCAACACATTCTCTGTCTGAAGGTGACCTTGGTAAATAGCATATTTTTTAAAAAGAGTGTAATGCCATTCAATGATTCTAGCTGCAACAGAAATAGAAATTTTTTGCCACATTAATTCTAACTTATCTTTCTCTGTTGCTGGTGTTTATAGAGGTGTTTCTAGAACCCTAATGTCATTGTTGCCTCTGCCTTTTCCAGTCATTCTAGAATTGTCTTGTTAAGCAAGAATTAAACTTGGATAGAAAATCAGCTTCTACCTTAATAACAAGCAGAGCTCTGCATTTCTCTAACATTGTGACATCATGGCAAGAGTGGCAGGAGAGAAGATGTATGTTCAGAGGCAGCCTGAGCTGCCTGTGTTCCCAAGGCATCCTTTCTAAGGAATCCAGGCCAAGGTCACCACCACCACACGTGCTTTCTGTGGCAGCCTCATAGCAGAGATGTCATTGGCAATGTTGAGCCTTCTGAAGAGGAAAAGACAGCCAGCGCTTCTGTTGTTCTCATATTCTGCATATTTTATTGCCTTCACCAATGGATGGCAACACAAAGTTTTGTGGTAGGACTTTTTAAAAACATTTCTTACCTTTGAAACTGTCTCTGAACTCAGAACCTTTTGGATGAATTTGTCTTTTATCTCTTTGATCATCAGTATTTTAAAAGCTTCTACTTAGACTAAAAGGATTTAATGAGGCAAAAACTTTCCTATCAGAGTGCAGAACCTAAAGAACTGTCTAGAGGGTCCTCTTGTGGGCTCAGTGTTATCTAACACTCAGGATGTTGGCTGGAAGAGTTTTCAGATGACACATAATCTGAGACTTTTTTTTTGAGGAAGATTAGCCCTGAGCTAACTGCTGCCAATCCTCCTCTTTTCGCTGAGGAAGACCGGCCCTGAGCTAACATCCGTGCCCATCTTCCTCTGCTTTATATTTGGGATGCCTACCACAGCATGGCTTGCCAAGCGGTGCCATGTCTGCACCCAGGATCCAAACCAGCGAACCCTGGGCCGCTGAAGCAGAACATGCGCACTTAACCGCTGTGCCACCGGGCAGGCCCAATCTGGCATGTTTTGATAGATGAGGATGAAGTTCCTTATCTTGGCAAGAAGATCAGGTGCAGGAACTAACTTGATACCATGCTGAAAAGATAAAAGATAGTTTCTTCTGTTCATGTTTTGAAGCACCATCTCCTCAGTCAGAGATATTCCTGGGTGGCAGTAATAAGAAGTGCTTACCTGTTCTCATTCAGCCTCTTCAAAACAGGTTTGTCTAATTTTATCTAGAGGGAAGGCCAAGGGAAGAAGGCTAAACTTGCTACATAGTGAATTGCTTGTCTAGGTGGCTGCAGTAAAATCTTTAATGTAAAGTTGTGGCCTATGCTTGATTTTTTGTCTCTAAACTCCAGGAAACTGTCAAATGGGGGCATTTGGGAATGACAGACATCTAATCAGCATGTTTGCTGCTGTTTTAGGATCTACTGATTGTTAATACAGTGGTGCCTCTGCCGTTTCATAAAGGTCATTCTGTCACAAATCTTGTCTGCAGAGGCTCATTCAGCTAAAGGTGAGTGCTTGAGGAAGAACAGGGTAACACGACAGTTTCAGGCAGATGCATGCATTTGATGAGGAGTTGGAAAGGAAACTCAGAAAGCATCAATTCCATTCTTTTAATTTTTCTTTTGGACTACCCTGTTTCATAAACTAAACTTATAGAAACATAAAACAAATGAATACAATTAACTGATCTAATTTAGAAATGACGGACTTTTAAAGCTGGTTATTAAAGTTACCTTGATCCAAAAGTTTCATGCTTTTGGAATGTTAGCCATTATTCATTTTGTGTGTGTGTGTACGTGTATGTGTGTCTGAATTGATTAAAAGCAAAAGGACAATACACTTTTAAAATGAAAGGTGTTTTTGTTCTGTGATAGCCCTCAGGTACATGGTTTAGAAGTGAAAGTAATATTTTGATGTTATTTTTACTTGTTCAAAGTTGCAACGTGATTTGGTCAAAGTAGGAAATACTCATTGAATCAGCGTTTTTGTTTTGTCTCATGCCGTTTAAAAGGAGGATGAGACCGTAGTATTCATCCAAGCCACTTCCAATATCATGGAACCAACCCTACCTTGTAAGCCAGTCTGTCACACCTGTGCCTGGACCCATTGACTGACAAAATTCATCCAAGGATGCACTGCAGTTATTTGCAGCCATCATCCTAGATCTTCTTTGCTTTATCTAGACCTGCCTTTTCTGATCATATTGCTGAATAATTCAAACCCTTGATTTCTGTCCCCAGATCTAATGGTGCCTCTAGATCACCCCTTAGATTTAAGGATTTTTTAAATTGGTGTTGACCTATTCTTAGATTTAAGTTTTAACTTTCCCCCTGCATAGCATCTGGTTCTCAACTCTCTTTGGTTGATTCTGGCTTGACTCTCTGCCTCTTGCCATCTCTGATTTCATTGAAAAGGACTGGGCATGAACATACCCTGTTTTGGAGTCTCTGAATCCAACCCTGAGTCAAGTTTAGCCCTGGAGCCAGCAGAGGTCATGCTCAGAGAGATCATTGTTTATTCTATGTCACCTCACCACTTCATATGATCAATTAAACCCCTTTATGAGTATAGCTGCAGGTGTTGGTGCAGTCACTGAAGTTTGGCAGTGAACTAGTAAATTTCATCCTGAACTAACCACTATGGTCAGGCACTTGTATCTTAAAAGAATAACCAAAAGGTAATCAGAAGATCAACGCTAACCCCCTTATCCACATAATAATCTTGTGAAATCTCCTCCTTTTTTTTTTTGAATCATAAAGTTAAAAGCATTTGTTGAGGAGAATAGCCAGGATAAGAACCATAACTTTTCAATAAGCAGTTTTCAAAGTGTTGTCCTTTCAGGGTATTCATGAAATCAAAACTATTTTCATAATAATTCTAAAATGTTGTTTTCCTCTACTCTCATTTTCTCACGAGTATATATACAGTAGAGTTTTCTGGAGGCTGCATGATGTAATGAGGCCACTGCTGTACAGCTAATGGAACATTTGCTTGTATATTCTTGGGTTTTAAACTTTTCTCAGCTTTAATTTCTAATAATCTACATAGCTATAGGTATAATCTGTAGAAATAAAAACACTTTGGGATCATCAATTATTTTTAAGAATATAAAAGAATCCGCAGACTGAAGAATTTGAGAATTTCTGGTCTGGGCTATTGAAATTCATGACTTTCTATTTGCATTGTTAGAATCTAAAAGATGAATTATTTCCCAATCTCTCCATTCTCAAGGTTTTGATCCTTATTTAAATCCATGAAATCTGCTTTGTTGTTGAGAAATTTGTCCTTCAAGGAAACAATAAGAATTCTCAATAAGGTGAAATTAGATGAATTCTATGCTATTTTTTAAACACACATATAATTTAAAATAATTAGCATGTAGCTTCAAATATCAGATGGCTCAACAATAGCCATATCTGTAAACGACCAGTATCTTACTTAATCTCTTTGTGCCTCAATTTCCTCATGTGTGAAATGAAGATGACAACTCCGGCTATGTCAAATGCTTGTTAAAGATAAGAGAGATAGCACATATTTTTAATTGAAACTTACTTGACATATAACATTGTATTAGTTTTAGGTGTACAACATAATGATTTGATATACGTATAGACTGCAAAATAATTACCACAATAATTTTAGTAAATATCCGTCATCACACACAGTTATGATTTTTTTCTTGTGATGAGAACTTTCAAGATCTACTCTCTTAGCACCTTTCAAATATCCAATAGGATATTGTTAACTGTAGTCATCATGAAATAGTGCCTTTAAAGCACTTAGAGCAGTGCTTAGAACATATAGTAGCACTCAACAAATGCTAACACTTAGCCATGACCATTATTTCTACCCAGTTGGCTAATATTGAATGAGAGCTTAAATTTAGAATTGGGATCAACATTTCTTCTGAGGTTAATTATTTTGGAAATATCTATGAAACCCAAGAGGAAGCTTAATTTTATTTTGTATTTTCTTACATACCAATTTAGGGAATATTTTTCACTTGCTAAGTGGTTAGAATGAAACTTTGGGCCTTGTAATTGTTCTCTAGTTTTTCAGTTGGCTTAGTTGGGAGTGACAGAGCACAGAGTGGGGACAACATGCAAAAGAGAAGAGGTAGAAATAATAAAGATTTGACAGTCTTGTTAGAATATGGACATAAGAATCTGACTTGTAACTTCAGATCACTTACTGATTGGACTGCTTATTCTAACTTTAGAGAAAGGAGTAGAGACTCAAGTGCTTACCATATGCTATCTTCAATTATCTGGAGCTGTTTGCAAGGCCAAAATGTGCTTTCAAATCCTGAACTTTCACTTTTTCTCCAATTTACAGTCCTAGGATTAGGATTAAAAATGATACAGACAAGTGACTTTCTGTTTTTAAGTTAGGTCCAGTTTGCTGAGGATAATGATTTGTGATGAGAACCTGAAGAAGCTGCTATAATTGACATAGTCCAAAGTAGCAATCTGATTAGAGGATTCTCAATTGCAGCTCTTTTAAACTAATTCCATCTTGGTTTGGGGAATGATGTCATGGTGTCTCACTATGTACTTCTTCCATGTATACCAATCAAAAGCAATATCCACTGAAAGTTTATACGTAAAGATCTGAGTGGACAATTTAGATGGCTTTCATGTTCGTATAATCCACAATTCAATTGGGGAAGGGGGCTTTGGAGTTGCAATAGGATAGAATTGGGACACAGCCTTGGTACTATCTGAATTCTTCCTGCAGAGTAAAAAGCAAGTCACAGTACACACTATTATTAACATGGCATTGCCTAACCTGGAGGGAGTTTGGTGGCACCTATGGATTATTCCTTTGCTTAGGCTCTGTAGGCCTCGGTACCAGATGAAAGTCAGCCAAAATACCGATGTTGCCTAATTTCAGTCTGAGCTCATATTGAAATCTTTGTTGTTGTACAATTTATACAAGGGACTCCCAATCCAGAGTACACTTATCAGTGGAAAGCAGAGGGAGCTCAGAACTGAGTAAGGCAGTGGCTTTTGCTACTAGGCCAGATCTTTCTTACTTGGCACATCTTTCTCCACATGCTGCCTTCAGCTCAATCAGCTAGATGAGAGAACAGAGCATCATCCAATGAGAAAGAGCCACCGAGAGCAAGAGCTGCCCTGGTGTCCAACACTGTCAGTGCTCTGAAGGGTAGGAGTACCAGCCAACCACATGTGTGTTGATCTCAACCTTCAGAACACAAGCTAATAAAGTATTCTTAATTCAACTAATAAATGGTAGCATTGCTCCTTGAGGATAGACTAGGGATGACATGGGTGTGGGCAGGAAGGGGCTGAAGGAAGCTGTGAGCTTCTCTTTAGTCAGTAAATTTAACCCATCTTATTAAATCAGTACTTCCAATTTACAATGCATTCAACTAGGATCACAGAATCAGTTTAACATAATTGGCATAAGGAGAATATCTTCTCACCTGTGACAGTTGGAAATAATTAAAACATTCATAATCCCTTTCCATAGATGATACTATCCATGCCTTAAACTTTTACTTTCATCTAGTGATTGCAAAATCTGAGTATCTTTTTTTACACTCCAAGTATTTATTGGTCATATTTGTGCTGAATCCACTCCTAAAGGCACCTCAAAATCAGCTTTTCCAGGAACGACTGCATGATGTCAATCTTCTAAATCAGCTACCCATATTTTCTACTGTCAATCCAATTTTCTCAGTAGCTAACTATGAGATCTTTCTAGACTCCACCACTCTCATTTTGCCAGTTTCATTGATCTCTGTGTGCTGCCATTCCACCTCTCAGATATCTGCAATCTCCACCCCATCCTCTCCATCTTCACTTTGAGTTCAAATACTCGTTTTCCTTCATGCAAACTGTCTCCTTCTCCTAAATATTCAAGATCATCGTCAGGAGTGCTATCTGATAGTAGGATATCCTGTCTTTATGATAAAAATTCTTCAGCGATTTCTTTAGTGTTATGAGAAGAAGAAGTGAATTAACGTTTATTGAGCACTTCCCATATTTTAGGTACTATGCTTGAAATTGGAAATATTGTGTTTTATTTAATTTTCCCAACAATCCTGTGAATGGGCACAATAATCCCAGCGTCACAAGTGAGGAAACTGAGTGTTAGAGAGGTAAAGTAACTTGCCAGACTTGTAAGTGAAGTGTCAAGATTTGAGTCTCAAGTTGGCTGACTATTTTCTCCTCTGATTCTTTTTTATTATCCATTTGCATTCACAGAGCCTATCAAGTTCTCTTATGACTCAGGCGGTTAGTATCTGCCATTCCCTTTGTTTTCAGGCTCCCCCACTCACTCCTAAGCTCCATTTTCCTTCTACTTGCTCTGTAAACTTTCCTTTAAAACAAACCCCCTCTTTAAATCTTCCTTGATTTCCCCAGGTTTCTACAGGCCTTTGTGCATACCTTCACTATGGCAGATATACTTTATTATAATCATTTTTGTGTTTCATGTGCAATAACTGTCTTCCCAATTGCCTGTGACCTTTCCAAGGTCAGGTTCTGTCTCTTTTCAACTGTGAATGTCTACAGTACTGCAGGGTGCCTGATACAAAGCAGGCATAATAACTACTTGGCTGGACGAATACATAACTGCATGATAAATGTTGACTAAAGAAAAGCAATCACAGTCATTCACAAGATTCTACCAATTCTGCTGAATGTTAACATGAGCAAACATTTGCCTTTTGTCTCCCTCCCACTAGAATGTAAGCTTTTATAATGACAAAACTTTTCATGTGCTTGTTCACTCCTGTGTACCCTGCACCTATAACTGTGTAAGACTCATAAAACGCATTCGATAATAGTGCATTGGATAAATTAATTTCACCATATTCCTGGTATCTTGTACAAGAGGAAAATATTTTCTCCAAAGCCGATTTTATCCCTTTAGGCCAGTTTGTTCATTAAAATTTTTGACTGTCAAATATGTGTCCAGTACCAGCTAAGATTTGGAAATAGAAAGATAAATAAGCCCTTAGGAGCTTACATTTTAATAGATGATTATCGGTAGTGTTAATGTAGTTATTTTTTTGAGATACACTGACAGCTGAAATAAATAATTTTCTGGTATCATGCTGATATTTAGCTTTGCCAAATTCCTTCCAAACTTTATTGATTAAACTGTAGTCCTCCTCAGGGGTTATTTCTGTGGCAGAGTAATAATTAGCCAACACAAAGGAGGAGGGGGCAATTACAATGTTACAATGTATGGCCCACAACTTCTTTCATTTGTGAATCCATGGCAATTTCTGAAAACCTGAAGTTTCGAAAGAAAACTTTAATGGATTTTTCTGTTAAATATGAAATATTTGACTTTCCGTTTCCTGAAAGATAACCATTATCATAGCGCCCTGGTAGTATATGCAAAACAAATTATTTAAATAAATAATCCATAAAATCAATATTTTTCTTCCTTTTTTGGTGAGTGGTGTGCAGGTCCGTGACCAGGATCCAAACCCTCCAACCTTGGGCCCCCGAAGCAGAGTGTGTGAACTTAACCACTACGCCAGCAGGCTTGCCACAATCAATATTTTTCTTTAGTCACTTTATAACAGTCCTCTGCTATAATTTCAGTAAAGTATGAGCAAGTTGCCATGTGAGTTTCAAGGCATTTTATCTTAAAGATTATTTCTACAAGTCAGAAAAACAGAATAAAATGTTTGGTGTTAAATAAAAGCTATTATGGGGAAGAATTGTTAAGAAAATCCAGTAATTTTTCACCAAAGTTCTAGCTTTAGGAGAAAGGATAGTACTTTCTTTCTTTCTTTCTTTCTTTTTTGTTTTGGTCTGTCAACTTTATTTCTTGTGAATTCTGGTATTTGGAGCAGGTATCTGGACTCCATTATAGCAGTGGTAGATTTCAGAGAACACTTCTGTGTTACAGCATCTTAGTCTTGATTTTTCAGACTGTCTGAGCACTAATGACCAGTACTCAAGAATATAATGTAAGGATCTCAATTGCAGCATGGTTTGTGATTTAACTGGTTGTATGGGTTATATATATACCTCCACTCCAGCACTTTTTAAAAAAAATCATATTTAGTAATTAGCACCACTGAATTGTAAACTATTTCTGGGCAAAAGACCTGGCTTTTAGCAGGTGTTCAAAAATCGTTGGTAAAAAGCTGGTTTAATATCGAAATTAAATCCATGTTTCCAAGTCCTTTAAACAAAATAGCACATTTCTGAAGTACTAACTTCTTTAGAAAGTATGGATCTCAAACTTTTTTTGCTCATTCATCTAGCCCCTGCTTTAACAGGCAGACCCAGAATGAAAAGGTTGTAGTTTACACTCTCCACTCTAAAGCTGACAGTGACACGAGTTAACATGAATTAGCCTAACTTGTGAAAGTCCCAAATTGCTGGCAGTATTGTAGCCTTTACAATGAAAATCAATGAGTTAAATTGGCTAGAACAAATAAGGTGACAAAGGGTAATGATGAATGGCAGAAAGAGAGAGAAACCTGCAATTTAGGAACCAATAAAGTCATTGCAGTTAGCTCAACACAGCAACTTGATGAGACATTTTAGAGAGTTAATTATACGTTTTACAAATGATAGCCAAGGATTTTATCGTTTTTCTCTTCTGAAGTTAAAAGGAGGGTTTGTTGTTGAGTATTTTGCTTGGATGAAAAATGGGGATCTCACTCAAATGAGAATTATAAAGGAAGCCATTTGCCAAGGGTGTTTAGGAGATTGAGCTGGGTAATTGGAGCACTTCCAGGAATAGGTTTTATTTTCATCAGATTAAAAAACAAATCAACCGCTTATTAGCAGTGTAACGCCGTTGAACGAAGCATTCTTGTTGATGCTTAGGTCAGATGTGTATTATGGATCTGATTTGATAAATACAAACTAAGTATGATTCTTCACCATCGAACCCTTATGGAAAAGAGCAAATTGTACAACCTTCACCTGTGAGTCAAGTTTTTAGAAGGGATAAAGGGATGTATGGATATTGGGGGTAAAGTTCGAGGACATAGGATTCTTCGGGACTTCTACAAGTAGTCCCCTCTCTTGGGCCCCTGTGATATCAGAGATGCAAAACTTGAGTGAGACTTTATAGGGGTGAAATTAATGATTGACATTTTCTGAAGCAAAACATCAGTTCTGCAGATGCATCATCACTGCTACCTCTGAGGTTCAATGTCAGATGTTGAAAAGTCCGCTGACAAACAACTAGTAAGTGGTAAGAAAAGTTTATACTAACTCTAATTCTGAGGGTCACTGAAAATATTTCAGGCTGCAAGGTAATTAAACAACTACACCAGACCATAGAGTTATACATCATCAACTGACCATGGCATTAGGATTCAGCAAACTCCCATGATACCTGGATGCAAATCAGAGGATTTCCAGGGAGAATCCGGAAATGATGAGATGGGGAAGCCTGCTCCAGCATGTTGACTTGATGTCTCTCTCTTTTTTTATTCTGGCTCCTAAAAGAACAATGAATGGAGGCCTAACTTACTGGGTTCCTCAGGCAGCAACATGGAAAGAGTAGTGGCCCCAAAGTGGGCAATAGGAAAATTCCTTCTGCTGTGGAAACACCTGGGTTCGTTGGAATCTTGGCGTGTGGCCATGACCCAGATCCATGCTCAGATGTGGATTTACCATAAAGCTACAAGATTTTGCTTCAATGTTCTTCAGTTGTAGGAACCCAAGCTAAGCTTCTGGAAGAGACTCTAGAAATGTATTTATATGATCATGAGTACTGGTAAATTTACAAATGTAACATATTTAAATGGAAATTTGTAAGACTCTTCTCTCTTTCTATTCTAACTTCCCTATCCTCACACTTTCCTTCATGTTAGGGGACATTGTAGTGACTATAGGTATTTTAGCTATCTGGTTCTAGGTACATTGACTTGAGGAAATATTTAGCTGCAGTTTAGTGGTCTATAGTTATGTGGCTCAGAGCTTCTTCCATGTGATGTTGAACAACAGTCAGGTAGGCATATGACAATGCCATTATGAAAGTTAAGAAGGGCTGCAAGCAGGATCAGCTTCAGAGGTGTGTGACCAGTGAGATTACAAAGTGTCTGGCACTTAGAAATGTCCTGCATGGTTTAACCATCTGCAGTCATTTTCTTGAAATTCTTTACTTTTTGAACAAGAGGTCCAGCAAATTTTATAGCCAGTTCTGGAAGCAAGCACCATTTACAAACATTAATAAGCATACAGAATGTGCACCACATTCAGCTCATCTTTTACATCATTCAATGACATTTTATCACTGAAGACAGAAGGTGACGCTAAAAGTTATTGACTAATTCAGCATTTTCCAATAGTTACATGTTTTCTTTTCAAGTTTATCACATAGCTGGAACTCTTTAAACACGCACATTAACGTGAATTTTTCTTTAAATATTTCAAACATAATGAGATTATTTGCCCACTGTAAGGCTGTTCAAAGCTTATGTCATGAGTGAATTGATGTTTCAACATCTCCAAAATAAAATTTCAAAGAATCACAAGAGAATAGAATGTAAAGGAAATGCCAAATTTACTCAAAAAGTTATTAAAGGTCAAATAAACCACTTTAATTAAAAATGTGAAAGACTTTTTGGAAAGTTTCAATAAAAATAGTAAAATGGTATGCTCCTGATTTTGAAGTATCTGATTGTAATTTTAAAATTAATTTGCTAAATAAAGAAAGAAAATTCAGATAAATGATAAAAATCAATAGAAATTATCCTGGTATCCAGAAATTAATGGTAAGAAAACAACTTTCAGATCATACCCAAAGTGTTGATTCATTAAGAGGAGAAAATTTTCACATAAATTAATGAATAAGCTCTTGATTTAATAATCCAAATATTGAATAAGGATAAATTGTCTATATAATCATATATGCTTCTTTATAATATATATACATATGATTAGTTACTGCATAATCAAATTAGAAGTTTCCTGAAATCTTCGAGTTCCTATGTATAAGAAACTTGATAGAGGCATTCTCAAATTTAACATTATAAAGTTTTACATGACGTTGCTAATAATAAATAATGAAGCTAAAAGAAGCTTTTCAATGCTATCAATTTTAAAAGTTTTTACTAAGCTTTCTAGGCAATTATCTCTTTATTCCATATATAAAAAAATTAAAAAATATCATGTTATATAAAAGGGTTATCAAGGGTGTGTAGCTAAAAATGTAGGTAAAAGTATTGGTGTGTCAGCAAGTTAGTAAGATACGATATACCATTTTTCCTGGTTTTGGAAATATTTGTGGTTGTGAGCTACTTAAAATTTGCAAATTTTTGTAGCTTTCTATCTCTTTCTAAGTATTTACTGCTAAAAAATATAACTTGATATTTGTAATTTTGTATTTTGTTTTCAAGTGCTAACTGCTCCCTCCCCAAATTTTCTGTTCTCCAGACTCCACAAAACTTGGCTTCACCTCTGCTCATTTCAACAGTTTAGTGAAGAAATGACACGTCATCTGATTATCTGATGCTATAGCCAGTGGTTTAAGTTTATGATCTCATCGTCAACTTAACAAAGATGTCATAGACTTTTCTGATTGTAAAATGAATGGCTATCCAGGAGTGAAGGATTGCTCCATTCCACATCCTTACTTTCTTGACCTTTGGGCTTTGGTGGGACCTTTGAAAGCATTTGACAATGTACCCAAATTTGTAAATTAACAAAGTCTCAGAGACCCTTAAGTGACAAGGCATACAGTGATCGTAAACATACCCTAATTGAAACCTTTTGTATTGGTAAATGAGAAAATGAGGTTCAGAGATATTACACTATTATAAAGAGAAGAGCTGGTGGTGGCATGCAGGTTTAACCCTCCTCCTAGTTCTTGTCCTTCCTCGCTCATTTAACCAACTGACTGCTTATGGAATGCCAGGCATTATGTAAGGTGCTAGAGAGTCAACAGCAATAAAAACAGTTTCTGCTTGGAGGCCTTATAATCTAGTATGGAAGGCAGACAAGAAGAGGAAAGTATAATAAGTACTGGTATAGGGATTTCAGCCTTTCTGTCCGCATGCCCAGTACCTGATCTGTTCATAATGGATCCTTGTAAGTGAGTCTTGCATCTTGGGGCTATTTTGAATCATATTCTGGGAAACTCTCCACCATTCTTTCAGGATACCAGAATGTCAAGAACTCAAGGATCATTGACACCCTGTGATCAAGTCTTTCATCTTACCTATTAGGCAATTTCATTGTATTAAGATCAATTTGGTGGAAATTTATCTATGAAAGTTCAGCAGTAACACTACATTTCTGATGAAGTCTTGACAGTTTAAAGTTGACAATAAATGCCAAAAGCTTACCTTTTTAAAACTCTTCAATAGGCCTAACCTATGTAAAGCATTGCAAATAAAGTTAAAGTTGACGTCAACGTTTGTATAGACAATAATAATGGGCTAGGTTGGCATTCACTGTAAGTCAAAGAATAAAATGTGGTATTCTCCAAAAAGGTGAAAACCTAAAGAACTGACGGTAGAGGAGAGGACATTATTTTTACTAGAATATGTAGAAAAATGCAATTCAAAACTACTGGAAAAGTCACTGTAGAAGACTAATATGGCATTTAGTTAGAAGCTCTGGGCAAAAAGAACCAAAATCCAGATAATTATGATAGACATGTTTCTAATAATTTTATTATCATGAGTCCTGAATATCAACTATGTATTCATATTGAAGCTGAAGTTCTGATGAGATAGTGGCATCTTCATTGGTAATTGGGCCCGATGAAGACACAATGTCTTGTATCATAAATTAGTACTTAATTGACTGATTTTTCTTTGTTTCTAATAAAGAAACATGAAAGAAAAGACATACAGAAGGCTTGAAAAGGGTAGAAAGCTCATTCAATGTAAATATACAGCATCTAAGAGAAAAGTGAAGAGATTTAAATGAAGCTGTCCAGCAGGAGGAAGCAATAGACTTGTGGAGGCAGACATGCTTGTTAAGTAAGTAATTTAACAAATGTTCTGTGATTGTCAATTATATGCTTATGTGGATTGGCAATAACAAATAGATAAATTATAGAGTATGTTAGAAGATGTTAAATATTCTGGAAATAAAGAGAGAGTAGAATAGGGTCAGAGTGACTGGACGTGCAGAGATGGGGACAGGGTTATATTGTGGTTTCAGATAGCATGGCCAGAGTAGGTCTCCTTGAGGAAATGGCCTTTGAGTTAAAATCTGAAGGAGATGAAGGAGTTAGCCATGGAGACATAAAGATATGGAGGTCAGGGGTGGGAGAGCATTTCAGAAGCCCTTGCAAAGGCACTGAGATGGGCCTGCAACCAGTGTGTTTAAGAAACAGAAAGAAGGCTGGTATGACTGTGAAAAAAAATTATTTTTCTTAAAGAAAGTAATGATTGATCAAATAGAGGTGAGAAAAAGCAAAATACTTCTCAAAATAAAACGGTCCAGCAGTGGGGCAAGACTGGAGATGGACGGATTATGGATAGATAAAATGCTTGCCCAAAACACGTAGACATGGAGTGTATGGTGAGATTGGGTAAAGAAGAATGGCTAGCTGGAGCTAAATGGAAGGGTTCATTGCAGGGATATGTAGAAAAAATGGGGTGAAATCATGGGGCAAGTCCTAACATGAATGGAGTTTGGATTTTTTTCCCCTGTAAGCAATGAGGAGCCATTGAAGTCAGATTTTTTAAAGAAAAATAAGTGGCAGTTTTATATTCAGATTTGATTCAAAAAAGAGAAACTTGATGTTAACAGGCTTGCTTGTTTTTAATTTTTTTAGCAGTTCTAGTGGATGTGTAGTGCTATCTCAATGGTGCTTTAAATTGCATTTCTCTGATGATTAAAGATGTTGAACATTTTTTTTCACATGTATATTGGCTATTTGCATGATGTCCGTTCAAGTCTTTTAGCCAATTTTTGTTGGGTTATTTTTCTCCTACAGTAAGTTATAAAAGTTCTTTATATATTCTGGATATAAGTGCTTTGTCAGATATGTAGCAAATATTTTCTCCCAATAAATAATGTTTCTTTTCATTTTCCTAATATATCTTTTGATGAAGAGCAGAAGTTTTAATTTTGAAGTACAATTCATCAACTTTTTATTTTATGGTTCATACTTTTTGTATTCTATCCACAAATCTCTGCTACCCTCAAGGTTACAAACATTTTCTCCTATGTATTCTTTTAAGAGTTTTATAGTCTTGGTTTTTACATTTAGCTCTTGATCTATTTGGAGTTAATTTTGTGTATAAGAGTAAAGATTTATTTATTTTTCTAGTCCATCAACATTTGTCAAAAAGACTATCCATTTTCCATTCACCTACCTTGGCATTTTGTTTAAAAATTATTCAACCCTAAGTATGTGAGTCTGTTTTTAGACTCTTGTATTCTGTTCCACTGGTCTATATGTCTATCTTTATGCCAAAATCACATTGTGTTGATTACTGTAGCTTTGAAGTAACAGACTGACTGGAATTTTCATGCATTTCTGAGGATTATGTAAAATAGTACAACCACTTTGGAAAACAGTTGGAGGGGTTCTTAAAAAGTTAAATGTACATTTACATCTGACACAAAAATTCAACTCATAGGTATTTACCAAAGAAAAATGATAACCTATGATGCCACAAAGCTTTTTTAATAGAAACTTTATTCTTAATGGTCCAAAACTGGAAATGACTCAAATATCCAACAACAGTTGAATCAATCAATAAATTGAGCTGCATCCATACAATGGAATACTCCTCAACCATAAAAAGGAACACTCTTCTGATATTTCCAATGATATGGATGAATCTCAAATATATTATTTTAAGCTGAAGAAGCCAGACAAGAGTACATACTGTATGGTTCCATCTTAAATAAAGCTGGAAAAGAGAATTCTAATCTATATTGAAAGAAAGCAGAGGAGTGGTTGCTTTAACTTGGTGAGTAGGGGTACTATATGGGAAGAGCAAAGGAAGCTTTTGAATAAGATGGAAATATTCTATAATTTGATTGTGGTGGTGGTTACACAGGTGAACACATTTGTCAAAATGCAAGGAAATGTATACTTAACATGGCTACTTCTTGTTTATGTAAATTCTCCTTCATTAAACTCAATTGAGAAAAGAAAGAAAGAATTAAGATAAGGTAAAATGCTAAGTAAACATACCTAAAATTCAACTTATCTTTCCAAATTGAACTCATCATATTCTCTCCTACCCTAAACACTCTTATTGTATCTTATACCCAGCTGAATGCATGGTTCCAATATGTTAGTCATCTAAGAATTTTGAGAAAAATGTGGGCCTGAAGAGAAAAGGGCACAGGATAAAATAATACTAACATCAAAGAAAATATCAGTTATATATTTCCTGTGAATAAAAATGTAGCTACCTATTACTAACTAAAATTTAATGAAGTAGAATAAATACAGATGTGCTTTTGCATCCTTGCTTTTTAAGTTACTATTTTTGTCATCCCAGACCTCAAATATGCTAAAAAATTGTATATATAGAACCAAAAGAAGAGTTTGAGTCCTCAGAACATAAGTAGCTGAGATTTCATGGATAACAAGTGTCTTAGTCAGCTCTGGTTGCTAAAACAAACTGCCATAGACTGGGTGGCTTATAAACAACAGAAATTTATTTTTCACAGTTCTGGAGGCTGGGAAGTCCAAGATCAAGGCAACAACAGATTCAGTACCTGCTGAGAGCTCTTTTCTGGTTTATAGATGGCCATCTTTTTGTTGCGTCCTCACATAGCTGAAAGGGCAAGGGAACTATATGGGGTATCTTTTTTAGGGAAACTAATTCCATTCATCATTGCTCCGCCCTCATGACCTGATCTCCTCCCAAAGGCCTCACCTCCAAATACCATCACATTAGGGATTAGGTTCAATATATGAATTTTGGGAGGATCCAAACATTCAGCTTATGGCATCAAGACAAATTATTTTATATAACATATTATAGTTTTCAAAAGAATTTTACATTATTATTTGACCTGAAGGATCAGAGCTTATAGAATTATAGACTCTGACCCTTGTTCATTCTAGTCCAAGGAGAACTATATTTTCGTAAGGGAGAAATTTGTAAGAAATTAGATTGAATGCAAATAATATCTTGGACTTTTTTCTAAGTCATTCATCATACTGTTGAACTAGAATATGGAAACCACAATCAAATTCTAATATATAAGTAGTTATAAACAGTAATGCTATGCAGAGGTAAGACTAATTTTTCAGACCAGCAGCCAAAACCACTAAGTCAATTCTAAAGCAAATACAAGATGTATCTGCTATTTTAGATTCAATTTCAAGCTTTTCAAATGAGTCATCTTGACATTTAGAATTTGTGTGAGTGGCACTGATCCTTTAGGCACTCAATTCAACCTCCAAAATGTTCCTCTTATCCATTCATTTTGCTCCAACTTCACTGCTACTGGTCAGTCTAAGCTACCATCATCTCTCAGCGGGACCAATGCAGAGTCCCCTATTTGGTCTTTTTGCTTCCGTTTTGCTACCCTATAGCCTATTCTCCATGCATTAGCCAGTGATCTTTATCAATACAAATCAAATTAGGTCATTTCTCTTTTTAAACTACTGTAATGACTCCCCCATGATCTTATAATAAGATATAAATTCTTACTTATCCCTTTCCTGCTTTATGGTTTCATCTCATGCTGCCCTCCTTCTCATATGCTATGTTCTAGCCCTGATGCCTTTTCTCCAACTCTTACAAAATACTAACACTTTTCAGACAGCACGTGTTGTTCCTTCCGCTTTTACTTACAATTCCCTTCTCCACCTTACAATTCCCCACACCTGCCTACCACACCTCCAATTTCTAGCGTCTCTTCTTTCTCAACTTGGGTTAAGTGTCATCTATACAGCTGGGCCTCCCTAATATATTTATTTAAATTAGGCCCATGGTTGTGTTCCATCACAGCACTTTGTTTATTTCCTCCATAGCACTTATCAAAATACGCAATTTGAAATGTATTTCTTTTGTTTATTATTTCAAGAAATATGTATTGAATACCTATTATGTGCCTGGCACTGCTCTAGGCACGGTTCTAAAAGTGAAAACATCAGATAAAATTTCTCATGAAGCTTACATTCTATTATGGGGAGATAGATGATTAAAAAACCCAAATGAATAAGTTATATAATATATTAGAATGTTATAAATTTTGATTTAATTTAAAAAACAGAGAGAAAGAGTAGCAGGGTAAAAGAATTGAGACTTCCAGGTGATATTTGAAACAAGTTTTAAGGCAGGTAAGAGATTGGCTATGCCACTATCTGGAGAAGGAGCACTCTAAGCAGGAGAGACGGCCAATCGATGTTTCCCATGAAGGAGAGGGCTTGGTGGATTTGAGGATGAACCCAGAAGTCAAAGTGCCTGGA